GACTTGGAGTCAGACAGCTCTTTGCTTGCTGATATTCGCGCCGCAGCGCGTGAAGGTGAAGCATCACCGCCGATCGGAGTTGCAGCAGGAGTAGGAGAGGTTGCCAGCAGTTCAAGTCGCCAGCCCGATGGATTTAGTGTTCCGGAGCCACCTCCCTCAGTGGGTCCGCCAGATGAGCCGCCTCCCTCATCCGTGAGTCCGCCAGATGAGCAACCTTTAGCCGGGCAGAGAGACAGAGAGATCCAACCAGAAACGCTTGTAGCGTGGGGCCGTGGCCCCCAAAAATTTCGCATCACCTTTAGGAAGCCAACAAGAGAGTGTCGGTTTGGAGCTTGGCAGGGAATCTGCCCTCTTCACAAAAAGTCCGCCACAGCCAAGTGCACCAAAGCATTGAACATTGCAAATGACACGCATGATGCAAAAGTGCAGTGCCTTAGAATGGTCCAACATTGGTTGGTGGCAGGCAAGAACTTCAGCCGTGCGTACCAACATTCCGCTTTCAACCCACGTTTTGAGGAGACGCCGCCATATGAGGCTCTGCTTGTGAAGTCTGAAGAGGTTCAAATTCCAGATTCTGTTCAGGCAGATGATGCACTGCCAGATCCAAGCCCCAAGCCTGCAGCAAGACCTCAGGCTGCCAAAGCCAAGGGCAAAGCCAGTGCCAAGGTTCGTGGCAAGGCCAAGGCCTCTTCTTCACATCCTGCCAGAGGTGAGGACGTCATGGGATTGTCAAGCGCATCTACTTCATCTTCAACATCGTCCAGTTCCGACTCCTCGTCTTCTGGAAGCGATTGAGGCGAGGGAAACCAGTTCTTCCATAGATTAACTTTTGGCTTCTATCAAACTTTAACAAGTGCACTTGTGAAACTGAGACCATAGTGCATCCACAAATGCCATTCAACCCAGCTCTCTGCTAGGCCCGGCGCTGGGTTTCGATCTTGGTTTGCAGAGCCAGGCGCTGAGTCAATGTTTTAGCTGGTAGTTTGATTCAGGCTATGTTTGCAACATTTGCAGTTTCCGTTTTCTGTTGATGGAAGAATGTTTCTGGTCTCAGGGAAGGGCGTGACCTTTGCAGACCGAGGCAGGTATTTCTTGAAAGTAATGTTTGGTCTCTCCAACTCTCTTCTTTGGCAGTCAGCTCCCTAACCCACATGGATTTGGTTGGGGTAGGCTCTAAACACTGTGGAACGCAACTAGGATTCATGCGGTCATGACCCCATCGCCTGGTCAGGACGCAGGTGTTATTCTGGCTATCGAGTGGCCGGGCGCCAATGAGTTCTGTTGAGATGATTTGTTGGCTAGATGTTTATAGAGCTTAGACTGAAGTCTTTCAATTTTCCTTGGCTGGAGTTTTTAGTTGGTTTGACAATTGGGGGCCACAACACCAAATACAGGATTTGTGAGAGAAGTTGCTGTTGCGTGTTCCTTGTCGAATCAAACAGCAAAAAGACAAAGGCGCTAAGAAGGAACATTTCTTTCAAGAGCAACATGTCACGTTCATTTCAATCCAAGACGAACCATAAGGTTGCGAGGGCTTGCCCTTGCTCACGCTCCGCCCGTTTCTGAGTGAGGTTTAGCTTCCTGTTTTGTCTGGTGGTTTGACTTAGAGCGTTTGGGGTTGCCCAGAAGCTGCAAAAAACCTAGTGTTGAGGGAACGCCTCCGTAGAAAGCACCCATGATGGATTTCAATAGGATTCAATGTCCACGTGACAGTTTTTCTTCTGTTTGTGGCGGTTTTGCTTGGTTTCAGCCGTTTTCAAGCAAATTTAGATTTTTTTGAGGTTTCAGTCAAAATTCAATCTAAAAAGCTCAGGCGCGGTCAATTTCTGTTTGTTTTCTTGTGGAACCAAGTGATGTTTTCTTGTTGACCTCTCGCTCCGGCTTGACTTTCTCGCCAGTTACTCGCCCTCTATCAATCCAATAGGTAAGAGTTTCTCGGAGCTTACTCGCCGGGTTTCTCGGACATTACTCGCCCTCAGTTGGTGTCCTTTTGGATGGTTTCTCGCAGTTTACTCGATCTGCTTTCTGGTACGAGCATTTCTAAGTTTCATTGTTTCTTGGCGGCCGCGTTGCCAGGAATGCTGGAAACCGAATTTTCCAGCCAGCCGGGGTTGCGTTCAAGGCCGGACTTGCGAGATTTTCATGAAACGAGCTAGATTGTCCAGAATGTCGTCCAGATTTTTTAGATTTCGTTGGGAACAGAGCAAAATCACCAAAAGGCTTTGAAAAACCATCCAGAACCATCGGTTTCATGGCCAAACACGCAGAATCCATTAAAGTTGCTTCTATGGAGGCAAACCCTTTTGCGAAGCAATTCGGATGGATTCACCAGGAGGCTCAAGGTTGGTGTTGTGCGTGTTGCCTGCCCAAGTTCCAAGATGGGTAAGCGGAAATTGCACGCCGATGCAGATGAGACCATCACCCCCTCCAGCTCTCTCTGGTTCCAAACCGACCTTGATCTTCCTGCAGCGACCAGCCCTGGATCTAGGGAAGATCTCTGGCATTGGCCAACATGGGCGGTTCAAAGGGTGCAGCAAGCAGGCATGTTGAGCAACTTGGTCAACAAGTTTCGAAGTGGCGTTGAGCTCACTACGGATTACTCCGGTGTCGGGACAGGCGAGGTGGCCTTGCAGTTCATTCAGGAAGCTGTTTGTAGACTTGGCATTCGCGCGCGGGAGACTCCATCGGGGTGGCCTTCTGTTGCTTGTGTGCGAGCCGGGGATTTGACTGAGCACTGCCGCAAGCTGCTTATGTGCCACAGAGACGGGCCAACCAAGCCTGCGTGCAGCTCAGCTTTGTTGAGTTATGGTCGTTGAAAAACAAGCTCAACACGCAGGTGTTAGTGTTGAGCTTCATTTTTCTTTTGGCCAGGGTTTGAGTTTGCGTGAAATACAAAACTAGACCCTTGTCTGAGTGGTGCACCTTGAAGCGGCCTATGATCAAACAACATATATATATATATATAAATATAACTTTACATTTTGCATGAGGCTCCGTTATGGGGGCGAGTGTTTTAAAAATATGGCTCCCTTTGTTCCCCCAAACGAGCAGTTTGACTGATGTGTTTGGGCCTTCACTTTCAAATTCGCGCACGAGGCATTTTTGGAGACATATTGAAGAGAATCCCACCGACACTGTTGGAGACCCTCAAAAGTCTTCGGCAAAGCTATGTGGATCGCCGAGACTATCAGGCCGCTGGCAAAGTCGCAAGACATACAGCGACTGCCAGGCTTGGTAGAGAGTTCATGCATGCGGCTTGGAAGATGATGGAGGAGGCAGATGCTGAAAGCTTCCCTCACCAAGCTTGGTGCTACCAGCATGGGAGGTTGCGCCCATGCAACAAGCGCAAGCGTGTTGGGGCCTTCTCTGTCCACATCGCAGGGCCAACCTGCGTTGACTGGTCCATGTTGGGAGATCGAGATGGATGGCTTGGTAAAGCTGTGTTGGCTTTTCTGTGCTGGCTGCACGAGCTTGTCCGTGATCGTGACGATGCTCCGGACATGGTCATTGTTGAGAATGTCGACCAGTTTGACGAAGGCCTGCTCAGTGACCTAGCCAAGCCTGTTTTTCACATGGCGGTCATGAACGTTGACCCGTCGCAGTTCGGATGGCCATGCACAAGGAACAGAAAATACATGGTCCTGCTGAGGCATGACGTTGTGGCCTGGGCGCCTCCTGCTTTGCGAGACCCGCCAACTGTCTTTCAGCAGCTCTTTGAACGTCCAGTTAGTCTTGATGGGCGTGTCTTTGTCAGTGCGCCGGAGTCATATGTGGCAAGCTTCCATGCATCCTGGGCAAGGCGCAAGAACATGCCAGAAAAGCAGCTTGATGGGGGCATGTGGCCGGCGAAACTGCTTATGTCTAGTGGTGTGAGGGAGCGCGTGCGAGAGTGGGAAGAGAAACTTTGATTTTAGCAAATTTGCGTTTGTGTGTGTGTGTGTTTTTCATTTGTGCTTCGGTATGCAATCCATTTTTGAACGCCGCCAAACATTTCCAATGCAGGCTTGTGTGGGAATTATGGGAGATTTAGTTCGCCAAACGGTCTTGGGGAGCAAAGAAAACCAGTGTTCTGTGTTCTCAAGCCAAGGAAATGTCGCAAGCACAAAGGCTTGGACCGTCATCAGACTGCTTTCTACCTCATGAACATCACTCAAAGTGTGAGCCGAAGCCCATGCGTATCCTTGGTGCCAGCCCTCATCCAGAACAGCACTCTCTTCTCCATGCTTCATCAAAGAGTGATGACGTTCCCGGAGATGTATGAAGTGCAAGGGCACCCAATGTTTGTTGATGACAGCCTGCCTTTCCAATGCCCCCTCAAAGAGGTTGTTCTTGGCCATGAGCAAAGACAAGGCGAACCTGACCAGCTGCTACATTTGCCTCGTCGCCAGCTCAACAGGGAGCACTCCGCTTGTGAGCCTGGCCCGCTACATTTAAGGTCGATGGCGGGCAACGGGATGCATGTAGTTGCCATTGGGCACATTTTGTTGTATGCTTTGGCAGCCACCCAGGTCATTGGTGGCGCAGGCCCGCCCTCTCAAGAGCTGGTTGAAGATAATGATACTCAGGACACAGAAGATACTCTTGAGGACACGTGTTTGGACACATACAGGTCCTAATTCGATATGAGATTCAACTTTTGGATCGAACTTGTTGGCGAGGGGAAGTCTAGCAAAAACAGATTTCGTGGTTTCCTTTTTTGGCAGGCTGTGCGTGCCACGACGTTTTTCATGGGTGGGGCTTGCACAGTTCTGTGGTAGCGCTCTGCCTGCGTGTTTTGTTTGTCGAGTGACTTGCTCCAGGCGGTTGTGGTTTGCAGGCTTTTGTTAGGCCCTCAGTGTTGAGCCTTCAGCGTAGAAGTTTGCACAGTCTTCAAAGGGTTGACCGTCGTTTTCATATTGATCGCGTGTCTTGCCCAGCCTGCTCAGCCTTTTTTTGTTTCCCCCGATCCCCCCGCTGTTTGCGACGTGTGCGACATGGACGTGGATGACTTGCAGCCAGTGATGGATTCCGATGGGCCAGGGGCCGCCAAGGTTGTGCCCAAACCTGTGCGGCAGAAGAAGGGAGAAGGGGCGGGCGCGGGTGCTGCGGACAAGGCGGATGCTCCGCCACCGGAGCCGCATCCTGTGAAAAGAAGGCGTGTGTCTAGAAACAGTGATGGCTCTGGGGCCAACTCAAGCAAGGATGAAAAGAAATGCAAGCGGTGCAAGAAGTTGCGCCTTGTGAGTGACTTCTATCAGGGCCAAGCGAATTGCGCGGAGTGCAGCACCAAGCTGCGCACAATTCGAAACATTGCCAAGCGGAGCCAGGAGGTTCAGTGGCTAGACAGCTTAGATGACAGCCAGCTTGACACTTTGCTCGCAGCCTACACAAAAGAGCACGAGGCAGCGAAGAAGGAGCGGTGCAAGTGCACCTTCAACTTGACTCTTTACAAAGAAAAGAGCATTCGTGCTGCTGGGGTGCGAAAAGAAGTCCGGAAGCGAATGATGAGCGAAGAATGCTTTTATGATTTTGCAAAGGGTGCGCAGGGCGGCTCGCTCAGCTCAACACAAGCCCAAAGGAAATGGGCTGAGTACTTGGCAGACCCCAACACAGTCCAAGAGGGTGAAGGGAGCACCTTGAAGCTGTCCATCCCTATTGCCACTGACATCATTGATTACGACGATATTTCCAAGCAGAAGGAGCTCGAACGCCAGCAGAAGCTTTCCAAACTCAATGAAGCTCAGTATGAAGGTAAGGTGGATGCATTGGTTCTTGGAGGTGGCAGGCCAGATTGCAAGATGAATGGCGCAAAGACCAAAGCAGCCCTGGCTGACGACTCTGATTTGGCGTTGCCGACCCTTTCTGACCTGGCTGCCAAGACCAAGGCCAAAGCGAAAGGAGCACTTTTGCCTCCTGTGGAAGATGCAGAAGCTGCTGAGGGTGAGGATGAGGCCAGGAAGAAGGATCCTGCTGATTCTGAAGCTGAAGGTGACACCAAGTGGTTTGACTCTGTGGCGCAACAAGCCAAGGCAGCCCGCCAATTTAGCAGCAAACTCGCCAAATCATCTTTAAAGATGGTTGCCATGATTGGACAAATGGAGGTTGCCCTAGACTCCGCTCGAGGCTCAGCGGGTGCCACCTCTGCAGGCACAGAGATGAGGATTCTTGACAACAGGCTCAAAGCCTTGAGACTCATCAAGGATGCTGGGGCAGAGGAATTTCGGCTGTATGTTGCGGAGCTCCATTCAAAGTCACAGGCAGCAAAATCTGCAGAGACCGTCTCCCACTCAAGCGCAGCTGATCACCATCTCGCGTTGCTCGGCTTCAAAACGGCGATGGGATGAACGGCGGTCTTGTTTTTTCCTTTTGTTTGTTTTGCGTTGACTGACCGGTTGCCGTGTTCAATCAGGTTGGCAGGCCCTTGCCAGAATTTTGGGGCGCTTTGGACTCGGAGGCAGGCTGAGGAGTTGAAGGCAAAGTTCAACTCCGTTACCGCCCAAGAGGAGTTGAATGCCACATGGAAAGAAGCCAATCGCATCATGTGTCACTGGGAGGAGCTTCTCTCTGCTTGCAGAACAGCTGTCTCAGAGCTCAAGAGAGCGACAGAGGTGAAGTCACAGGGACAGGGCGGTCGTGGCAAGAATGCCAAAGCAAAAGCCAAAGCTAAGGGCCGGGCCGCGCGAGCCACCTCCATGTACGAAGTCTTCAGCTATGACAAGTCCACTGCCATCGACGTGTATGATGTTTGTCCATTGTCAGCTGACCGTGTGATGGACACGCCTTTCATCCTCACGGCGGTGCCTTCCATCATGGAAAAGCTCCTAGCGCTCAAAGAGCCTTCTGCAGACGCCCCGGATGCCACCAAGGTCTACCAAGAATTGACCAGCTTCCATGAGAAGTTCGCCAAGAGTGACCTCCGCTTCACCACCGGCAAAGCGCAAAGGCCCATGAAAGAAGCTGTTGGACAGGTTGTCTCCACCGCGCTGCGAGGTTCTTTGTCGGGACACGAGGTGGTCGATGCCGGCCACTGGCTGCCGCCCAGTTGCTACGCTACCATTGGGAAACATCGAGCCATTCAGTATGAGGTGTCTGGGATTTCCAACTTGCGGTTCTGCTACAACGGAGAACGACTCTTGCCTGTCATTGCTTGAAGTTTTTGATTGAGTTGGTTTGACGTGTGACTCTCAGATCCCTTTCTATATAGTTGTTTTTTGAATCTCCCAAGGAAAAGTGATCTTGGCCGACCCAGAGAAGATCGTGACATTGTTGACCGACCAGAACCACAAGCTGAAGGAGGAAGACCGCGAGAAGGTCACCTATGCCTCAGCTGTTGCATTCTTGACCCATGCCACCCCCAAGGACTTGGAGGACCTTGGTGGTGGCATCTGGCAAGGAACATTGAAACCAGGCCAGCTTTTGTGGACGCCCGCTGGCATGATCGCCGGAGAGCAGACAAGTGAGTCGGACCACCTTGGCTTGAAGGTTTCATTGGTGGCAGTGGGTGAGACAGGTGATAGTCGAGGCATTGCCACACTGCGCAAGATGCAAATGGAGGGGAAGGACCTCAACAAGAAGTCTGACGTGCTGGACGAAATCTTGTTGGCGGTGGACGCAAAGCAGAGTGATTTGAAGTTGAAGGCTGCCCCACCTACTGAGGAGAGCCAGGTGGGCCCGGGTGGAGGTGTTTCAGCATTCTTTCGACGTTTTGCTTTTGCAGGACCTGAGTTATTCTCAGAAATCTTTCTCGTTCATGCCATTGCGCCTTTGTCAGGAGTCCCACCAGCAAGGTGGAAAGAAGTGAGAGTGATCTCGCTGTGTCATTGCCGTGAGATTGCAGGGGAAGCTGGCGCGGAGCAGTGGGTAGACCTAAGGGAAGGCCCCACACTAGTGCTGGTAGTTCAGTCAATCGGAACACGGTGTGTGACTGGATAGCGCTCGTTGGAGTGAAAAGCAGACACAGTTGAAACTGCATGTTGCAAATTGCAAACGTATCTCAGAGAGTTAGTTGTTGCCACTTTGCGCTGGCACGCAGTGAAAGGATTTGGCTGCACAGTGATTGTCATCAAACTTTTTTGGACTTTTGGGGGGCGGCTGAGGTCGGGGCTTCCGGCTTCCTGCAGACTGCAGGGAGATTGCTGTTGGAAAGAAAACAGTGTGAGTACCTGTGTTGACATCTCTTGTGCCTGCACAGTGCCTTGCGATCTTAACTTTTTCTTCTGGAAAACAACACCTAAGTGTAAGTCACTCGGTCCAGGGCCCAAAGCATGGGCCTTTTCAATCAAAATATTCAACCCTGGATCTATATGGAAGGAATCCAGTTTCACGATTGTAATTATACTTGCATCCACTCAGAAATTGTGGGCTCACAGGAAGGGCCGAGATGGCTATGGAAGACGCTTTACTGTTTATGACGTTGTGGCTGCCAGGGGTTGTGGTGGAAAGTATTGGCACACTGCTTGTGCAACTAGTTTGGCGGCGCTGCTGCTGCATTCGTGTTGTTTGCAAGGAAAGCGCTCCTGGTTTCGATGGTGTCCCTGCTAGCGCAACTTCTTTTGTAAAGATGGGCGCCAAGCAAAAAAGACTGATCCGAGATGAACAAAGTGATTGCGGCGACCGAGACCGAGACATGGTCATTTATGTCCCACTCACAGGGAATTGCATCCATTTGATCCCACAGTGTGGAAGCATGAAGAACGCAAAGAAATTTTTCTTGTGTTCAAAATGCTTCGGGCGTTGAGACTGTGACGTCTCAGTTTCCAGTTGATTCAACACTCCGTTGGCCGTGCGAAAAGGAGCTCAAATCTTTTGATTTTGCAACACCCTTGCAAACAACATGTGCAACGTATTTTGTTTTGCTGCCACGCAGCGTGATGGCCGGGATCCTGTAAACATATGTTATATATACATATTACATATTTCCATAGTTGAATGTCCACCTGGTCCACCTATAGGCCTGTAGGTGTTGTTTACAATCGATCGACGTGTTGTATGGTATTTATAGTATTGTGTCATATCGCGCACCTATATTTATAGAGGATGCCACCTCCCATGTGCCGCTGCCCCCCCGTCGCAGGCATTCTACAATACGCGTAGTTCTTATAGTTGGTAGCCTGCCATCAACCAAGCAACGAACACCATGATAGCATGTGCTTCAAACCCGTGCTCGCCACGCCATTCGTGACCCACAGAAAGAACTCTTGACTGTGCAGGCGCAGGTCTGCCACTATGAGACTATGCGGTTTCTACTTGACTTAGTGGAGGTGATTGGCATAAACTCTGGCATTCTATCTTGCATTTTTGGCATTCTATCTGGCATTCTGGCGTTCTATCTGGCGTGCAATGGCATTCTATCTAGCATATATTCTGGCCTCAGTGTTTGGTTACTTTGCTGCCAGTCGCAGCACATTCATGCCTTGAGGGATGGGCTTTTCCACTTCCTTTAAAATCAGTCTCTGGCAACAGCGATCTGGCTGCTGCTTTGCTGACAAACAGCATATTTCAGTTTTGCAGTGTTGAGCACCCGGTAACCATATGTTACGGAGGCCTTCTACGAATCTAACACCCGGGGCACTGGAGCTTGCCAAACAACACGGTCGCCGACCTGGAGCTCCAAGCTGCGCCTATATCGATTCGCTAGCTTAGCTCTGGCTGCTGAGGCTTGCTCCCAATGCCGCGAAACCTTCCGCGACAGCTGCACAAACTGCCCAAACTGGCGCCGAGCCCATTCGCTCACGGGTTCAAACTGAAGGCTCTCCTTAATCAGGTCCTTTTCAAGATCCAAGCCTAAGGACCAGGACCGCTCCAAGTCTCTGGGCGTGTACCCATGAGGCCCTGGAGTGTTGTCGAGAAGGTACTCGACGAGAGGGAGGAGCTCGGACCATTCGTCGGTCTCATCTGGCGAGCTCCCGCAGGATCACATGAAGAACCTTTTGCACCTCTTGGTGCACCCGCTCGTTGGCGCCCATTTCGCACGGTCTCATGGCCGTACTGAACTTCTGCTGGACATTCAGCAGGGTGAGGAATTCTGCCATCATCGCATTCTTGAATTCCGTCCCTCTGTCCGAACGGACTAGCGTCGGCAGCGTTCTGCTTCGAAAAATACATTTTCCGAACGCCCGACGGATTCCGCGTGCGAGAGGGACCGAACCGGTTCCACAAGCACCGCATGGCTCAGGCAATCCAAATAGGTCAACGTATACCTGAATCCCCAGCGGCCCTCCCGGTTAGGCCCTTCAAAATCTACAGAGACCTCTTGCCAGCAATGGTCGGCAAAACACCGCGAGACTCCTGCTTCGACTTTGCGAGGTCGAGACCTCGCCTTGAGGCAAACAAGGCAACGATCCACCCACTTTTGAACGTCCTCGCGCATTCCGGTCCACCAAACCGTACGCGCAAGGACCTTGTAGGTCTTGTCGCTGGACTTGTGGCCCCCCAGCGCCCCACTGTGCGCCATTTGAAAACATGCCCTACGCCAGGTCAAACCATTTGACGCCGCCTGCCCAACAGGGATGACCACAACCCAAACCTGCTCGCCTGTTTCCAGGGTCACGGACCGTTCCAAGACCCCATCACCACCTACCCGGTATGGATCCCCCGGCCGTCGGAAGATCCCAGCAAGAGACCCGTCTTGCCTTTGACTGGAATACAGGGCGCTCCTTAGCGACCCCGTGACTGAAAACTCTGCTACTTCAGCAAAAGAGCGGGCATCCTGCGCACGCTCTGCCCTCGTTGGTCCTCCATCCTCCGTCCCGCGGCAGGGGTCCGAAGGCGGATCCCCCGCCCGCAGAGGCGGTCCATGGATCTCGGCTTCAACATCAATCGCTCCGATGCCCGTTGACATCGTTGACCTTCCGGACCACGAAGAGACCACCCAGTGTTTAGTACTCAAGACTATGACCTTTTTGAATTCAGCCGACTTTCCTACTATGGCGAGAGTCGGACGCGAATGACCCTCATCTACCCTGACCTTTTTCCCTAAGGCGATCGGGAGCCAGTAGCCTTCGGCTTCCTTCTTTTGGAAACACATCAGGACTCGCTTAGAGCCCAAATCCCTCCGCCGTCCGATAGCCTCGCTTCCGATGCCATCGTCCCAAACGACGGTTCCGGTTGGCTCGCCCACAAGCCAAACCAACCTTTTAAACTCGGCAGGCCACTGGGAAGAGTGCATCCCTTTTTGCCAAGTGGCCTCGCAGACTCGACTGAGCAGGAGGACGTGATTGAACCAGTTGACTTCCGAAAGCTCCCATGAAGCCTGGCTCACCTTCAAACAAGACTGGAGGACGGTGACTGTACCATCCTCGTGCACGCACCAGGCCGCGCGATAAGGAGTTCCTTCTGCGCCACAGTTAGGCAACTGCAGGTTCTTTCCCTTCGCCCAGGCGAGCCCGGCTACCTTTCCAAGCCTTCCAGGAAGATCATGAAACCCTTCTGGACGCCCACTGTCCTCCCAAGCTTTAGCCCAACTGTGGACTAACCTAAAATTAACAAAACAAGCCTTGGGCTCATTCGGAGCCGTGGGGACAGCGCTCAATACCATGAGCTCCTCTGCTAGGAGTTCGCCATCCCCTGCTTCGGCGCCTTCTGGTTCAAGCGCCTCCCGCGCAGCAGCAGCTGCCCGGAAATCATCACTTGCCTCCTTGTCAATGCAAGTGGTGCAGCGCCCAAACACATAAGCCCGCTTGCCACATGAGCACCTTCCATCGTGCTCCCAGACATCCCTGCCTGGCTCCACAGCCAAGTTCATTAGAGGCGCCTCCGAAATGTCCTTGAGGACTCCAAGCCCGAGGATATCGCAAACTTGCCGCGAACTCTCCTCCTTTGGCGAGCGGGTCACCACCCCGAAACCCTTGGTCGGCTCTTCAGGAAAGACTCGACTGATCTCAGGGCAGGCCGCTTTCAGCAAGTCGCCCCCAGCTTGCGTCCTCCAAAGGCGCGGATTAACGCACCAAATGGACTTCACCCCTGACCATCCGGACACAACTTCCCGGATCTCCTTCCTCTGCAGATTACGCGCCTGCAGGGTGACCTCCACGACAAGCGGAAGTCTGAGCAGCCCAAGCACGACTGCTCCCTGTCCTACTCCAACCGCGAAATCAGGCAGGTACGAACCCATGGCTCGAAGCGCTTTGGCGCAAGCAGTGAGGAGGTCGACCCTCAACCTCTTCACTTGCCTTTCCCCCTTCAAGTTGGCAGTGGCACCGTCCAAGTGAGACGTGTTACCTACGTCATCTTCGAACGGGCCTTCTGATGCTCTCACTGCGATTTCCCAACCGGGCATCGCCTGGGCCAAAGTGCTCCTGAGCTGGACAATTTCCGAAGCATTCTCCATGTGCTTCGTATAGTCACCTAGAAAAAGGACCTTGAGCTGCCTGGTCCCTGTTGCTCCCGCGTAGAGTCTCGAAACGAGGACTCCACCACAGGGATCAGCGCCGTCCACTAGGCTAGCAGCCCCTGGCACTACATCATTACCGATAGCCCACGCCACCGGAATATCAGGATCCTCACCAGGAGGCTCCGAGGAGCAAGTTACAATGGCGGCGTGTAGCTAAGTTGGCTGGGGTGGCCTCTACTCACCGATGCCATGTGAACTTTCCCGGCGCCATGTCTACTCACAACTCCACCTCCCTACCCACCGCGGTGACAAACAAGCGCGGGGCCAGAGAAGGTCAATTGCAAGTTACACAGCTGTTCAATGGCAAATGCACACTGCACATCGGCTTAACCTGTCTGTATGGCCGGGGATGGTGTTAAATTGAGCCACAAAATACAAAACTGCGCGTTTACCTTGGAAAAAATTCGGGCCACCTGTCGTATATCTTTGGTGTAAAAAGCATTCGGGTCACCTGTCGTACATTGTGTTTAAACATGTTCCAGGGCCACTACCGGATCGTGAATCGCCGCTCAGCAAGGCTAGTGACAGAGTTTTTTGGGGGGGAGGGCTCACAAAGCAACAAGCTGTACACCAAAATATCGTTTTTTGGCGGTGGCGGAACTGACTCGAGCACCCATGCTTTTTGCATGGACATTGCGCCGGTTTGGTCCAGCTATGCCACAGAAAGCTGTGTGCAAAGGTGTTGGTATCGGTATCCTGCAAATAATTTTCTATGTGAGGACCAGAACAAGTTTCTCTCAACCCAAACCCTTGTTATAGGTATCCTGCTGCAAATATATTAATAAGGTTATAAGTTCTACGTGAGGACAAGTTTCTCTCAATCCAAACCCTTGTTGTATATGTTTACATTCTAGTCAAGTGGAAGGCGTGTTTTCCGCATGTATATTTTCGGAGCTGGCCATGAAAATGGCGCCTACGACGGCTGAGACTGCCAGACAGGTGTGCCCGGCACAGTTACAATGACGTGCGCTGAAGGATCTGTACGCAACCTGAATGAACCTGTGACATGAGACAAATTCAAGATGTTTTCTTCGAGAAGAGATGACAATGGTAAGTAAGTTAAGGAGTCATGATTCATGATCCCTTTCTTTCTTTGAACTAGAGTATCGGTAAAGATGAACTTTCTTTGGTCTAGAGTCAGTAAGTGAGGTTGCTTGCCGATCGCGGTCACGCGGTCACACGGGTCCGCGACCCATCCATGTTTTTGTCCTGCGCAGCCGTTTTTTTTGTGAGCAAGCAAGGTTGGGAGTCAATCCGCCCTATAAAGATGTCCCTAGGTTCACCTCGACCCTTGGCTCAATGGAAAACATGGTGGGGCCCTGAGCTGGCTTCGCAGATTGCCACCGCTCTGCATGAACACGTGGACCCGAAGCTGCTTCCGGGCGAGGGGCAGTTGATGGATAAGTCCAAATTTGACGCAGACGCCTTGAACGAAGACCATGTCCAAAATGTTGCTGAAGCACTTTTGGCAACATACCCATATGAACGCTTGGGTAGTGCGTATTTGCTGGGGGATGCGTGCTTGCAGCTGAACCACTTGTGGAATGGAGGCCTCCTAGGCCTAGCTGAGGGGAACCCCATCAAAGACAAGTCTATTCGGGATTGTGCCCTCAAAGAAGGTGAGACAATGAAGCGGCTTTTGTCTTACATTCGAACTTCAGGGTACAAGAACGATCTTGGTCGTTCTGATCGGGTCACCTATTTGAAAACCTTGGCCAACCAGCGGCGCGGCCATCGCTCCTCCTCTTCATCTTCCTTTGCTTCTTCTTCCCCCAGGGAGCCTGTGCAATCAGTGCCAAGTTCACCAAATCAGTTTCTCAGCAGACTTGTTGGGGGGCACCATGGGTCATGGGTTATCGCATGTTTTTGTGTGGAACAAATTGGTAGTCTTATTGGAAGGGCCGTGGTTGAGCAACAGAAAGGTTTCCTGAAAGTTTGGTTCGTCAGTGAACCGTTTCTTGTACGCACGAGTGGGAAGTCAGGTCGTCAATGGATATCGATGTCATCAACCGCACCTTGGAGCTTCTAGGGTTCCTGGTCTGCAGTGGTGGTGTTTGCCGATTGTCACGTGTAAAATGTTTTGAACCCTTGGAGCTGGAGGCTTGACGCTGACACTGCCTTCAGCCAGTACAGTTTGGAGCGGCACATTGAACAGATGCGCATCGAGGATCGACGATCGATCTGATCTCACACAAACATATATATATATAAGCTCCCTCTCTCTCTCTTGCCAAATTTTAACTTTTGGGTCCTGAAAAAAGGCCCCGCAAGTCCTATACCAATAGCAACGCATCTATATTTTGGAGGGGCCAAGCTAGACTTGCGGTGGTCTTTTTCATGACCCAACCCAAATGGGAAATTGCTACTCTCTCTCTCTCTCTCTCTCTCTGAATCCCAACACATCCCAAGACTCAATACTAACTACAGGACGGGCGGATGCAAACACCGACCCCTTCAACGGCGGCTTCATCGGTGACACCTCCAGAGCATCCTGAGAAGCCAAAGGTCTTAGAGTCCTGCGAGTGGCGATCCAGCGAACGCCCCTTGGAACCCCCGATGCTGCCAGCTGATTTGGCTGCTGGTGTGAAAGGGATTGAACCCCCCAAAGCTTCGCCTACGGGTGTGAGCGGGGTAGAAGTCGTTGACCCCGCTTCCCAAGACAGTGTCATCCCTGTGGTCGACCCTCAAGATCAGCGGAAGCTAGTCGAAGCTCGGCTCATACAACTGATGTAAAGCTATCAATATATATATATATATAATAACACGCGCAGTATGCTGCAATACGGACGACTAGCTCGATAACTTTCTAGTTGTTTCATTGACCATGCATGAAAAATGAGGAGTCTAGGAAGCGACAAGCTCAAGCTCCTCAAGCCGCGGAGCCGGCCGCCAAAGTTCAGAAGGTCGACATCTCTGCTCCTGATGGAGCGCTGCCAATTCCAGAAGGCTTGTCACTACATAGATCTACATATTTAGCACCTACAACAGCTTGTTGTACGACTCGTCCTGTTGCACACTGTATATGCATGTGTGTGTAGGTATGCCTGCCGAAGCACTACCTCAAGCAGACCGCAAGGGACGCTTGTCGTACACTGTTGTATCGCCTGTCACAGGGGCAAAGGTGGAGGTCCTCCTCAAGCACAAGGCCTTTCGCGTTTCCAAGATTGGCTGCGTGGAAGGCGCTTGCGTCAAGTGTGTTGGGTTTCTGTCATTAAAGAAGATCACTTTCACATCCCATGATCCCCCAATCCTCCAAACCCTCATCTTTAAGTCATGAACGGTTGATTTGGACAGAATTTTTCATGGCCAAAGAGTGAATGGCAAATTGCCATTGAGAGGTCGGGATGGGTATGGGGTTTGTTTTGTGTAGGCAAGGACGTCGTGGAGAAGCCTGCTTTGCTGCAAACGCCCTGGTTCGATGATTTGCAATCCGCTTGGGACGCAGTAAAGGTGAAAGCGGGCTGGAATGTCCCGGAGCTTAGCTAGATAGGGGCTTTGCATAATTTAGATTTGTTTAGCAGCTGTGTGTTTGCACGCAGCGGGCGTCCTGAAACCCAGGATGAACAATGAACATAAAGTGCTTTTGCTGGGGTTACGCAGCAAGATTTGACCAGGCTAAATCTTGCCAAGAAAAGGTTGGGGCAGTGCGTGCACATGTTTCCGGATACGTGAGAAACTTGACACTTTGCTCTTTGTGTTGATGCCTTTGAAATCCTCAGGAGTTTTCAAACCAAAACCTTGCGCTAAGTTCCTTTTCCACAGTGCACTCCTGCTGTTTGGTTGCCATGACACTTCATCAAGTGCGACCCAACAAAGAGGAGAAGCAATCTGGGACCCAGCTGATCAAGCAGAAAAGCAAGGAATTGCGCAAGAAAGCGAAGGCTAAGGCTAAACCAACTCAGGAGCAGCTTGCCAAACCGGCAAAGCAGATTTGCAGTGGCATTGGGAAAGGTATGTCACGCTCTGCGCGTGAACAGGCAGGGTTGGAAAAGACATCCACAAAACCAAAACAAGATTCAGTTCAACCCCATAGTTCCCGCCCCATCTTTGCCCTTGCAGTTGGTTGGCACACTGGCTGCTTTGTCCATGATTGGCGCACCGCGAATCCTCATGCAATTGGTGGTGCTGATCACAAATTTCAACGGTGTTATGCCTATGGATTTGCACCTATGTGAGTTTTTTGCTGGATGCATGGCGGCGCCTTGGTGGTGTGTAATGCCAGATGTCCACATGTTGCATATCGTTGCAGGGTCTTGTTGCCACCATTGTTTAAGTCAAGCCTAGGTCACCGGGGTTTGGACTCGGGCTGGCTACCGCGCAGCTCCGTTTGAGATCCTGCTCGACAGTTCTTGGATGGATATATTAACTCCTCAGGGGCGCCTAGCTTGCATTGTTTTTCATGCCCATGTTCATTCAAACATGGCTAAACCCAAGTATTGTTGCCTGGGTTGACTGTCGCTAGCCATGCTTGCTTTGAGAGTGGAATCAAGTCACCCAGACTACCCTGGACACTATATTATAATATCAAACTCTGCCAGGTTCTGCTTGGCTATATGCATGGCACTACGTATGCGGCGTGAGGCATTTGCAATGCTCGCCACAGTCTGCTCGTCATGGGTCTTTGTCAGTCGTTCGTCGAGCCATGGCACGCATGTGATGTTCCAGGTGTCAGCATCAAACCAAAAGAGTAGATGTTTGAACACTGTATTCGATAAAGTCCTTTTTGAATAGCTTTGACCCTGCTTACACGTTCCAGGACACAATCTGCCTCCAAAAGGTGTTCACTGTTGTTTGGAAAAAGGAAAACCCTTTTCATGAGCATCTTCTTACCATACCAAAGCAAGTATTTGATCATGGCAACCCCAATGTCAGCGATGTCAGGACGGGCCGCACTGCCTGGAACCCCCTGGGCGATCCTCGGTGCAAGTCAACAGCCGCAGGAAATGCCGCTTGTCCTCAGACGCCGGGTCTGTAGTCAATTGGGCGCTGTTCACTTCAACATATACCAAAGATAACATTTTGCAAAGTTAACACTGTTCGTACAATTAGATATGTGGGTCCCACCACAAATCATTCCCAGTCGCCTCCCGCTCAACTTCCAGCTAGCTTTAAGGAAATGGTTGCCAAGATGACGCTTATCCTGTACATCTTGGAATCCCGTCGATGCTACTGGTGCTATGAACAGCCTTCTTCAAGCATGTTGTGGTCACATCCACGCATGCAGGCCTTTTTCAAGAAGGTCACATGCTTCAAAGCGTTCACTTACATGGGAGCGTATGGGGCATCAACTCCCAAACCCACTCATTTGGTTGCTTCGCGGGCATCTGTGTGGAAATTTTGCAGGACCCTTCCCGAGAAAGAATGGGGGGAGCTTGTGACTAAGAAAACAATGCCAGATGGCCGTGTTTCTGTTACAGGGTCAAGTGCTATGAAAGGTAGTCAGGCCTACACCGAGGCCTTTGGCCTAGCCACTTTGGCCACATGGTTGGATGAAAGCGATGATCCAGAACCGGATCTCACTGGCATCAAAATTCCCTCTGTGTGGGCACCTCTCACAAAAGACGAGAGGTGGGAGGATGCAAAAGTGCATGAATGTATGCAATACCTCTCTGGTCTTTAGACCACTTATTCCTTGCACTGCAGCAGCGTTGGTGTGGTAGACTAAAGGGTGCAAATATATATATTCAAATATACATATATATATATATATATGTGTGTGTTTGTGTTCAAAAAGATATATATATATAATATACTCAAAGGGTGACAGCTGTTGCAGTGCAGTGCTCTCTAGGGTACCTGATGTGGAGTTGCGTTCGCATACCGCTCGCAGTACCACAGGCGTATTATTTGCCAATTCATGAAATTCACCATCCTAGTTTGCCGCTTTGGGGTAGAAGGAAAAAAGATGCCAACGCAACACGTGTGATCATGTTGGACAAGGTTCCCAAGACCCCTTGTTGAGGACACCCTACTCTCCAGAACGTGGACGTTCCACACGTCTCCAACTCACAGGTCTCACTTGACAAGGATCCCAACTCACAGGTCTCCACACTGCGGCGTCGAGCCAGGTGTCCTGCGGTGCCGCCGGTAAATGAAGAGGGCTGCAATCCTTCTCGGAGATGAAGGCTGGGCACCACTGAATTACCAGGGAAGTCAAGGGAAGTCAAGAGTTCTGAAGGGAAGTCAAGGGAAGTCAAAACCATGTGTGAGATGGGCCTGTGACACTGTCAGGCTGTTTGGATATAAACATCGTATGTGATATATAAACATCGTATATATAGATAACATATTATATATAATATAATCATATGGACTACACTTCAAGATTGTCAAAACATGGATGCCGTGATTACTCCGTGATGTGGCCGTGATTACTCGTGAAATTTCACGCGCATCATGTTTTAGAGTTTTGTGCAAATCTCCACGCACATTGGGGAAACATTCTGGTGTACAAGCTGAATTCTAGTGTGCCATGGCGACTCGAGGGAAGGCAAGCGCACCCCCACCGCAGCCGGCTTCATTAGTGACACCTCCACAGGCTCGGGGGGGTGAAAGTGAAGTCAGCGGCGGGGCGCCAAGACCACGTAATGTGAGCGAGTTCTTTGATCCTGCGACCTACCATAGAACAGTGAGAAAGTTTTTGCCGGGCGAGATGGTTACCACACCAGCTAATGTGCGGAAGTTCTTTGACCCTGCGACGTATCGCCAGAAGCGGCCTCTTCATTCACCAGAACAAGAGCAGCCTCCTCCCAAGACCAACAAGCTGCAGCCGTCTGCTTTGATCGAGAAGTTCAAGCTTGCTGCACAATTGAATGGCCTTGATTGGAATACCTTGGCAGTAGCTTGGACGGTACCATTCAAATGTTGTATGTCTATTGTATGTCCACTTGTCTGTGTACTGTTCAAAAAGGAATCCTTGTTTGTGCTTGTGCTGCCACCAATTTGTTCAATCGGTCAGGAAGAGATTTCTACAGAAGCTGGCTTTGGGACCAGCTCTGAAGTGGGCACCACTACGATGGAGGTGGATGAGAGCCTTGCTGCACCTGGTGTGGGTGGGGTGGATGAAGAGCTGGAGAGATTGGAGCGGGAAGCTGAGGCAGACATTGCCGCCAGGATCGATGAAGAGAGGCTGGAAGATGAAGTGTCAGCAGATGCTAAGCACGCAGAGAGGGCCACCAGTGAGCCAGATGAGGATGCGTTGTTTGGTCCTTTCGACCAGGCAGAGGTGGTGCCACCTGCAGAGCCAGGTTTCACAGGCGTGATGCCACCTGTGGAGCCTCCAGCCGCCAAAGATCCGGTGCCACCTGTGCAGCTTCCAGCCCCCGAAGATCCGGTGCCACCTGCGGAGCCTCCAGCTCCCAAGGATCCGGTGCCACCTACGGAGCCTCCAGCTCCCAAAGAGCCAGCTCCAATGGATGTTGGTGTGGCAGAGTCTGCAACTCCCAATGGGCCTTCATTTCCCATGATGCATCTGAATACTTCCAAAGTTGTCCTCAGCGAGGCTGTTGCGTTGGAAAACTCTATTCGTGACAATCTCATGAAGCTTGATTTGGAGCAGGTGGATCGAAGAGTCAAGTTGGCAATGTCTCATCCTTGGTTTGCCACATACATGGCATACTTGAAGAAGGATGTCATCGGGGAAGAGATTGACTACAAATTCGGAGATGAAGAGCCTTTTGAGGACCTTGTGAACTTTGAGCTGTGGCTGCATGATCAGAAGGAGGCAGCCTCGCGCGCTACAGCCTCGCCTGCTGATGTGTCGGGAAGGCCTTCATGTCTGAGGTCTTCTCCACCGCCACCAAGGCATGTGTCCTTTGCAGATGCACCTGAACAGCCAGAAGCTGCGCCAGCTGCAAGGCCAGTGATCGCAAGTGCACCTGTAGCCCCTTTGCAAGCTTCAGCGACCAAGCCAGAGGTGCATCAAGCTTTTCCAGAGGTGCGGCCAGACAACCTCTCTGCCTCGGTTGAGTTGGCGGTTGTGAAAGCAAAGGAGCAGGCGCTCCCAAATTCAGTGACTCATCGCAGTGAGTACATGGCCTACCTCCGGGCAGCTCGCAACCCGCAACTTGGCGTTGCACAATGTGTGAAGTCTCTTTACCCTTCAACCTCTCTTGGTATGGACCCTTTTTGTCCTCTCAACCTGTGTTGGTATGTTGGGTCGGGTCGGGTTCGCTTTTTTGGTTGGCCTGTCCAAGTTAAGGCAAGTCATGCACAAGAGCCTTCTTCCTATGTTCACAGGTGGCCAGAAGCTCGACCTCTTCAGAATGTGGCTGGAGAAGGGGAGAGACTTTGCTTCCTGCGCCGTTGAGATGGAACGTCGCCGGGTTCACCAGGCAAAGGCGGCGCAGAAGGAGAAGTGCATGAGCAAGAGGCAGTTGGAGCTGGATGGAAGGTATACGGAAGCTCAGATCAAATCATTGATCGAGTCAAAAACAGCTGCAGGGATGTTCATCCCAGATCCCAACTTCCCAGACGATGAGGAGTTGCGACAGTACATCATGGTGGATGAGATCACCAGGAGCCACACGGACATCAGTGAAACTTCCCAGACTTTGAGGGGGCGCACTGACTTGTCTGGTAGTGAGGCTTTGCTTTTGACTGAGCAGGGAGCCTTATTCTCTGCTGAGGGCATGGAGTTGCCACAGCTTGGGAATCGTGAGAATGGGCCACCGAGCACGGTCGAAGAGGATGGGAAAGCGAAGGGAAAAGGGAAGAAGGGGAAGGGGAAGGGGAAGGGGGGTGGCGAGAAGGGAAAGGGAAAAGACTGTCAGGAGGAGGGCGGGGGTGAGAACGTGAAAGTTGTGACTCCTTTGCAAAAGGCTCAAGCCTTGTCCAAGTCTGTGTTTCTTGTCTTCCTTTACATGTTTTTGTTTTCACCAAGGAAAGGTTAATAGGCCCGAAGCTTTTTCAATGAAAAGCGCCTTGTGCCTTTATGCACCCCCAAGGCTGAAGGAAGCAGAGGAGGCACGCTCTACTTGCGTGGCCATCGAGCCTTTGGAATGCTCTGAGCAGTTGAGCTTGGCGCTCAAGGATCATGCGGACAAGATGACCCAGCTGTACCGCAAGTTGAACACCATGATCTTGGAAGGTTGGAATGATGAGGCATCATATGCAGGCCTTACCCTCGAGGCTACAGAGCGCACCAACTGGTACAAGGCACGCAAGAAGGTTGCGATGTCTATGAGGGCCGCAGCTGTTGCCAAGCCTAAAGCCGGCTCGAAGTGAGCCTTTTTGTCAGCTTGTGTTCATTCAGTCCCGCTTTTTTCAGAGCGACTGATCTTGGGCCTGCGCATTGCACAATGCTTACTATATAACCCTTATGTCCGATAGAGTGCACTCGAACCAGTCTTTCGATATCTTTCGATATAGCAGCTTATATAATGTGTTTTCTAGCTTGGCATGTGTGACCTCAAAGCGCAGCAGGCCTTCATCCTAGTTGTGATGCGTTGCAGAGCCTTACACCGTGATTAGGGTGCACGCTGCTATAGGCAACCATCTTGCAAGAAAAAAGAAACACTGCGTGTACATATTTGGTGAGCGGAAACATCTGTGCCTCACCCCAACTGCCCATTCGCCAGGCTGTCCTCAGAAGCACAAGCGCACCAAGATCGAAGAGCCTGGCGGGGCACTTGCGAAGGAGATGCTTTGGGACCTGTCAAGGGGTGATCTTTGCTCGCTATGAGTCACGTTGTCTACTGTTTGGTTCGTGTTGCGCGGGTATCCCAATTCTAACTTTGTTTGATATTTGGGAAAAAGGTATCTAGTTGGAGCTCAGGAACTTCATGTCTCTTCCATGCAACGGTACGCCAATGCAGCGTATTTGGATGGGTTGGATGATCCAACAATTAGATCTCTTGCGTCACTAGCTTCATGGGGGAAGCATCTCCACAATGTGGAACGTGATTTTCATCGGCTTATCCCATCACTCTATGGCACAAAGATTGACACGCACGATGTCTGTATTGACATCTACGACCCTGATCTAGGCAAGGTGGTGCCACGTGTGATCCCAGTGATGCTAGCATCTGACGTATTATCCCAGATCTGGAAAAAGCAAGACAACAAGCTTTGGAGTTTAGCTATAGGGGCTACCTCCCAAAAGACCCATGCCTTTTGGAAAGCGGCTGACAAACTTTGGGCCTCCAACCATCCAGTGCTGCAGCCACTTGGTGGCACTGAGATGTCTTTGTTCGTAACCCACCTTTAATATGTTCGAAAGGGGTTGGTTTAGATCGGACATCTCAGTGCCACCCATCCACATCCAAGGTCAGGCCTCGAAGCAGAGACTTTCCCAGATCCAGGGCTTTGCGTGAACGTACAATTTTCTTGTGTGTGTAATGGGCCCCCAGAACAAAAATGTTCTTCATGTCTGAGTCAAATACATCAATCACCAAGGTGAAATGGTTTACAGACGGTGCGGAGTTCAACACGAACCATGAGATGCTCATATGGCTTTGGAGTAGCACGATGGCTTCCCACAATTGGTGTACAAAATTTCCCTTCGCTGCAATACCAATGAGATTTTTGTCGACCAAAGAGCTAAGGGAGAAAGCAAACCGAGCTATTGTTGAAGTCATAGCTTGGGACAGTAACTTGCACATAAGCCTGTCAGCCTGTTGTTGGGGCTTTTGGTATCCCACCAATCTTCACTGATAAATGTCAAGCTTGTGCAAGTTCAACTGTTCTTCCAGTTTCCGTCCCAGGCAAGACCTTGCTGGATGGACGATTTCCAGCAGTTGATCAATATGGACGTGCTTTAGTGGGTTCCCGCGCGGGCCGCGCTGGCCAGTATGTATGTGGTGGATGGAGGGGAGGCTTTGAGAGTTGGGCCGGCGATTGGAAAGAACGGTCTCTGTCACACGAGTTCAAACGGAGGAATTACCAGAGTACCCAACTTTGTGACCAATGTTCTGCGGTACAACCTCATGCAAAAACTCCTCATCATCTTCTGCATCTTATCTACACAAACTTCGCCCTTGATGCGCCATGGAGGAGCACGATTAGAAACCATGACACGTATCTTCAAGAAACCCCTCTAAGTTCGAGGACACCTTGGCTGAAGGTACCTGGGTTCAACATCAGTAGGGTGCGTTGGGACTCAGCGCACACAATCCTGCTCGGCATTGGGAAGGATGTTGCTGCCGGCTTTTTGTGGGACGTTGTTTCTGGGCAACGGCAGAAACATTGTTTTTTCTCGTATGTTGGTGTCAACGAAACACCTTATATAGAGGGGTGAGAGTGTGCAAAAACAACATATGTTTCTGTGTAAAATACAATGTAAAATGATTGCTCAGGGATTCGCACCTTTGTGCCCAGGTGGACCTCCCAATCCTCCCTCGCTTGAGAGACGCTGGAGCTTTAGATTTCAAATGCTTCCAAGGGGTGTCGCTTGAGGTACCAGCAAATGGGACCCAATCAGAGAGAGGAAACAAGTTGATGAACCAAATCGGGATTGCTTTCCGCAAGTGGTGTAGGGCAAGGAAAGTGGAGGTGCCACCGGCAACTTGGAAGCTGGACCTCATTGGGCGCTCGGACTCTGACTCGAAGAGCGTTTACCCTTGCCTAGACTCCAATGTCAAAGCAGCCCACACTAAACCGATTCTCTTCTTTTTGTCGGAGCTGGCCACTGAAATTGCGGAACATTGCAAATGAAACTTGGACCAAGTACTCATCGCATTTGTTTTGCGCCGAATAGATAGTAGGAAAAATGAAGCCCCTCTAAGTTTTCAATGCCTTCTGTGCCCCTAAGGTTTCCATTGCAAACACCGAGCACTGAGTCTGTGGGGCCTTTGTGAGTTCCTGTTTGTCACCGACTGGCCTGCTCTGTTTTTGGGGGAAGATCTCCAACGACGTGCGTTCAGGGGTGGAACGACATGCCTCTCATCCTATGCGGCTCTATCCTCCGACAATCTGCGAAGAGAACGAATCAACTATAAGGTGCGTCCAAAATGGTGCCTGTTCTGCTTGTTGTTCACGTGGTCACCCAAAAAATAGACTGCGGTTTTCTTTCTGTGCTTTGAAAATGAACAACCATGTGGACACCAAGTAAGGCACGCGTTCGCTCATTTGGTGCACGACTTGCAGTTTTCTGATGAGAACTGCAGGAACCATAAGACCCTTGCTGAAGAGGACATGCTCGGTAAAATTACTAACTTAGCTTCTGCATGCCCTGGGAGCAATGTCCTGGAGCGTTTCTTCCAAAGGTTCAATTTGTTTCTGGGTCTTCACTGGGCCCGATTGATCGACAGTCCCACAGACCCAGCCGAAAAGGGCTGAGGCGCCCAGCTTTGTGTGAAGGAGCCGCAGAGCCCGTCGAGTTGAAAGGGAGCGGCGGGCAGCATCGAACGGGGGCCCCGCGAACATGTAGGGCCAGTGGAACCACGTTTGTTTCAACACCCAAACAAATAAATAGAAGTTGTATGTATATATGTATGTATGTACATACACACACGCACACATAGGATGAGCGTGTTGAAGGACAAAACAAACCAACAAGTTAAGTTGTTTTAAGTTTTTTGCGCCTGCCACGGAATCTGAATGGCTCAAACCCATGTCCAAACATCGGGCAAAAGGGGTTGCATTGGAGACACTATGCTCCAAGGCTTGCTGCGTGTTGCTTGCTTCATGGGTGTGGTGGGTAGGAACTTCACTGGAACAGGTAGACTTGGCATCGCCTCTACCGATGCTGCTTGCACTCTCGCTGCCTTTGTAACTCTCTACTCGGAGCCTCCTGGCAGTGTCACCACCGAGGTAGGCTTCCAAGTCAAATCCCTTCAATTGACCTGCCATTCCCTGCAGATCCTTGGTCCGATTTTCGAGCAGCTCATCCCTATCTCGAGGGTTTCGCGAAAACCCATCCCCGAGCTTAGCGCTCCGGCCACTCAGTGACCTAATTTCGGACCCATCTGCAAGGATTTCAGCCACCCATCTGACTAGCTTCACGTCCGCCCCCACATCGATGTGTTGGGCCTTTGTCAGATTCGCGTGATCTGTCCAACATAAGGTTCGAATCGTTCCAAATGTTTTCCTTGTGGCTCTTTTCACCTCCAATTGAGCGAAGGCCTCCTGAACTAGAGGCGGCCATGCTTGCTGCGGCGGCGTGAGGCTTTTGCTGTGCGTGAGGAGCACCTTCAGCCTCGTGTGGTCTCTGGTCATCTGGACCACGGTACCACCGACCGCAAACCCGCTGGCATCGGCCACCTGCTCAAGCGGACAAGCTCCGGAGATGGCGCTGGCCTCGTCAATCATAGCTAAGCTGATAGACTTAGCCAACATGCGCTTGATGGCCCGAACAGCCTTGCAGCCTTCTGTGCTGCCATATCCGAGCTTCAGGTGAGAAGGTCGCATCTGGCCGTTGGTAGCCAGTCAAAATT